AGCATAGTTCCAAATTATTCTCCAGAATGGTTGGACTAGTTCACAGCTCTACCAGCAGTGTATTAGTGTACCTATTTTCCCTCATCCCCTCCAGCATTTGTCATTTTTATTTTCTGTCATGTTAGGCAATCCGATAGGTATGAGGTAGTATCTCAGAGTTGTTTTAATTTGCATTTCTCTCATCACTTGTGAGTTAGAACACTTTTTCATATGACTGTTGATAGCTTTGATTTCTTCCTCTCAAAACTACCTATTCATATCCCTCGATTATTAGGAAGTGGCTCCATTCTTAGAAATTTGTCTCATTTCCCTATATATTTGAGAAAAGAGACCTTTATCAGAGAAATTTGCTGCAAAGATTTTCTCCCCAGTTTCCTGTTTGTTTTTTTTCTAATTCTGGCTGCATTGGTTTTGTTGTACAAAACCTTTTTAATTTTATGTAATCAAATTTATGCATTCTGCCTCTGTGTCGCTTGTTTGGTCATGAACTCTTCCCTGATCCATAGATCTGACTGGTAATTTTTTCCATGCTTTACTAGTTTGCTTATGATATCACCTTTTATATCTAAATCATGTACTCATTTTGAGTTTATCTTGGTCTATACAGTTCCCTTCCTTCACATTTTTTTCCACTGATTCATTTGATATTCTTGATCTTTTGTTCCTCTAGGTGAATTTTATTATTTTTTCCTAGCTTTATAAAGTAATTTTTTGGTAGTTTGATTGGTATGGTAGTGAATAAGTCAGTTAATTTAGGTAGTATTGTTATTTTTACTGTATTGGCTCAGCCTACCCACGAACAATGAATATTTCTCTAGTTATTTAGATCTATCTTTGTCTATGTGAAGAGTGTTTTGTAATTGTGTTCATTAGTTCCTGGGTATGTCTTGGCAGGTAGACTCCCAAGTATTTTATACTGTATGCAAGTTATTTTAAATGGAATTTCTCTGTCTCATCCTGCTGGATTTTGTTGGTAATGTATAGAAATGCTGATGATTTGTTATTAATCTTGCAACTTGGCTAAAGTTTGTAATTATTTTGGCTAGCTTTTTAGTTGACACCCTAGGGCTTTCTAAGTTAACCATTTTATCGTCTGCAAACAAGTGATAGTTTTATTTCTTCTTGCCTGGTCTTATTCCTTCAATTTCTTGTCTTATTGCTATCCCTAGCTTTTCTAGTACAATATTGGATAATAATGGTGATGATAGACATCCTTACTTCTTCTCTAGTTTTACTGGAAAGGCTTCTAGTTTATCCCCATTAGAGATAATGTTTGCATGTAGAAGAGTTTGCTATGTCGAGGAGAAGGGCAATCTCCATCTTCATCAGAGATGTCTTCATTATAGATGGGAATGAATAAGGAGATAGTGGGAGAAGACATCTGCATCATGGAAGGGGATGAGGGGGGAAAAAAGAGGGAGCTCTTGGAGAATGGCCTCAATTTTTCCGGTTAAGTATGAGATGGACTTCAACTGAGAAGGTAAAGGCCAAATTGTGGTGTTATAGGAGGCTTGAGGAGGGGCCAAAAGGTTTAGGAACATATAGAGAAGCATTGTGTTGCAGCAATGAGGGCCTAATTGACATTTTGTAATATAAATTTGTAGTGGAGCAAATCAGCTTGGTTTGTTTTATAATTTTTAATTGCATGGTTTTATGATTTTCTCCAGTTCAGTTCAGCACTATATAAATTGGAATAAAGGAGGCAGATGGTGAGCATAATCTAGGATAGTAGTTTGGGATAATGTGATCAGTAAAAGGACAATGGGGCAAGGGATTGACGAGTTAAAGGATAATATGGCCTCAAACTGATTTATTAGAGGTTGAAATAAAAAAGGGAGAAAAATGTGAAAATGCAAGGGTGATAACCTAAGATAGAACTAAGGAATGGACAGAGTGGCAGTCACAGTGACAATGGAGAACAGGGTGATGAATCGTGAAGCATAGGGAGAGATGGACTCATAAAAGATTACAGAGGGGCAGCTAGGTGGCACAGTGGCTAGAGCACCGGCCCTGAAGTCAGAAGGACCTGAGTTCAAATGTGGCCTCAGATCAAGCACTCGACACTTACCAGCTGTGTGACCATGGGCAAGTCACTTAACCTCAGTTGCCTTAAAAAAAAAGATTACAGACATTAAAAAAAATTCCAGAGTTCATGAGTATGGAAATAGGACACTTGTGGACCATGGCAGGATCAAGGGTATGGCCAGCTCTGTGTGTAGCTGAAGAGGAGTAGAGGGAGGAGTAAGGTCAAACATTGTTCTTGTTCAGTCATATTTGACTCTACGTGATAAAGTCCATGGGGCTTTCTTGGCAGAGATACTAGAGTGGTTTGCCATTTCCTTCTCCAATGTGTCCCCATTTAACAGATGAGGAACTGAGGCAGGTAGGGATTAAAGTGACTTGCCTAGGGTCACACAGCTAGTAAGTGTCTGAAGTCGTATTTGAACTCAGATCTTCCTGACTCCAGGCTTGGTGTTCTATCCACTGTACCACCTAGCTGCCCCAAGGTCAAACATAGTCTGGTCTAATTCATTCTCTGGCCTGCCTGCTGAAGATGAGCTTCTCTATACTTAGCCAGGCTGGTCCTCAGAAAGCAGATTTAGTCTGTTGTGGATGTTGTATCCAGAGGCTTTCTAGCTTGGTAGAACATACCAAAGTTTGTACTCTTACTAGTCTAGCATTATGAATCCAAGTTTACACTCTTAAAATAAAACATTGAAGTAGGATTTTGTGGGAGAACTATGTTGTTGCAAGGAAATAATGAGCTAACATTTGAAAACTTGAAAATTGTTAGATCCTTTTTTAAATTTAATTTTTATGATAACACTTTGAGGTACGTTCTACAAGTATTATTATCTGAGTTTTATAGATGAAGAAACAGGCTTAGAGAATTTATATAGCTTGTCCATGGTGTCCAAAGATGGGATTTAAATATAGGCCTTTCTAACTCTAAGCTCAATACTTTGGAAAAAGTTAAAAACGATACGGTAACGTAAAGATGGAATTATTATTAATACGTATCTGGGCATGATTTAGTAAAATTCGGAGTCTGAGTAACAATTAATTGAACTTTAGTAAGAGAAGCCATCCAAGCTTCTAGGGTTTTAAATATTTTTTTTTTTAAATTTTTGAAGACTTTATCTGGAAAGGTAGAAGGGAAGACTTGTACCTTATTTATGTTAGCTTCACAGTGTCCATTTGGACAGAATCTGAAGAAACTGTTGCACATCCTTTGAGAAGTACTCCTATGGAAGCTACAATCTCATACACAGAAAGGTCAAGATAACCTGGAAATTGCAGGTCATCTCAGTAGTTAAAAAATAAAGTACACAGTGAAAAGAAAACATATCTAAGCAAAATAACCTACACAGTCTACTGGATTATTAATGGAAAGAAAAGTTCTTAATCTTGTAGGAGAAATAATTGTGATAACGTGAATGTATTATACCTGATCACTTTCTGCTCCACATTCTTTGGTCTTTTTATTTTTATTTTTTTTTATTCCTGAGTCTTTTTGAAAAGCAGAAAGGTGTACAGAAAAAGAGTGCTAACTTCACTTGGAGTCAGGGGAGACTTGAGTTTGAGTTCTAGTGCTGACACTAACTGATCTGGGGTCAACACTGAGCCCCAGTCTCCTCATCTGCAAAACTAGTAGTATTTTATCATCTACCTCACAGTGTAGTGAGGAAAGCATTTTGTGAGAAATGGCCAAAGGATAATAACAGGCAGTTTTCAAACAAAGAAATCTAAGCTGTTCCATGAACAAAAATGTTCAAAATTGTTAATAATAGAGAAATGCAAATTAAAGTAACTCTTTGGTTCCACCCAGATACCCTAAGATAGGTTAGAATGATAGAAAAGGAAAATGACAAATGTTAGAGGAGATGTGGGAAACCAGGCACACTAATACATTGTGGGTAGAGGTGTGAATTGACCCAGCCATTCTGGAAAGCAATTTAGGATTGTGTCCAAAAAGTCTCTAAACTATGCACATACCCCTTGATATAGGGTGCTCCTATTAAACTTATATCCCAAAGAGATCAAAGAAAGAAGAAAAGGCCCATGTATACAAAAATATTTATAGCAGCCCTTTTTATAGTGACAAAGAACTGGAAACTAAGAAGGGTTGCCCACCAATAGGGAAATGGCTAAATTATGTTGCATGAATGTAATGAGAATATTATCGTGCTGTATGAAATGATGAGAGGGATGGTTTCGAAGAAAATCTGGGAAGACTTATATGACCTGATGCAGGCTGAAGTGAGCAAAACCAGGAGAACAATTTATGTAACAACAACAGTATTGTAAAGACTAACAACTTTGAAAGACTTAACCCTGATCAAGGCAGTGACTAACCAAATGCTGTAGTGCTAGTCAAGAAGCATGCTACTCGATTTGTACCAGAGAATGGATTCAGGATTAAGAATGAAACTTAATTTTGGGAAATTGCTAACCTGGAAATTTTTTAAAAATTATATATAATTATTGCAAGGGTTTGTTTTTTTTCTTCCTTTTTCCCTCAGTAGGGGAAGTAAGAGAGAGATACACTAACTTAATGTTAATTGAAAAACAAAACAAAAATTTAGGAAAGCATTTTGTAAATTTAAAAGAGCTATATAAATCTGCATATTATTCTGTATTGTGTTGTCTTAATGCGTGGTTGGGGAGTTTGGATTGGCTTTTCAGTTGTTTAGGATGCTAGAAGATGGTGGGAGGTATTAAAGAAGTTGATTAATTGATACTTGATAGAAAAAGAGAAGAGTACGTTGAAAATTCCATTCTCTTGTCCCTTCTGTTGCAGTATAAAGTTCATAGAATAAGGCATTTTAAAAAAGCAAAATGGAATAGTTTGGCAGTGTTTCTTCTTGGGTTCTTGTCAGTTATAGTTAGGTTTTCTTAAGTTAGGTTACGTAACTAAGGTATTCTTAATCAGAGTTTTCCCCCATTAACATTAAGAAAATTAATAGAAAGAATGTGTACTTTGTTTTATACTTCATTAGGAAATTTGTCTCCAGAAATGGATGATTAGGAACATGAATAATAACACTGCTGTGTGTGTAGAAGGAAAATTGATGTAAGTATACAATATCAATATGTTTTCAATAAATTATTTTATTCAAATTGAGTGTAGGAATTGCTAGGTGGGAACATGATAGCTTTTCTTGAAGTATTTGAAGGGCTGGCTGTCAGTTAGAAAAGGGGGTAGACTTGTTCCACTTGACCCCATAGAGCAGAATTGGGGGCATTTCCTGGTGGATGGAAGTCAGCTTTGAGTTGGATTTTGAAGTTTATTCTTTTTAAAATTTTATTATAAACTACAGACAACTTTTTAGTGCTTACTTACCAAAGTTATAGATGTGATTCTATCTGTGTTAGCCTAGGAGGTTCCTGTACTAGGAATTTAGTACTGCCCAAATCACAGATCCTTGCATGTTTGTGTATAAATTACCAGAAATTTTGCTTTGTTCTCATTTACATTAGGTGACCTAAGATAAAGCACTGGATGTGGACTTGGGAAATCCTGAATTTGAATCTTGCCTCAGGCATTTACTATCTTTGTAACCCTGGGCAAACAAATCACTTAAACTCTGGCAGCCTCAGTTTTCTGCCTGTAGTGATAGCACCTGCTGTACAGGTTATTGAGAGGATCAAATAAGATAATAAATATATGGAAAGCTCTTTTTAAATATTAAAACACTTTATAAATTTTCGCTATGGTGATGATGAAGAAGATGAGTTCATGTAAATCTTGAATGTGAATATTTGAGGATATATTTACTGAAGAATCTTAATCATCTTTTCTCTAGAGATACTCCTGACTTATATTGGCATAGTAATGCAATTGTTGAACGTCTTGACTACAACAGACTTAGGACTATATCAGGCAATATCTATGTATTAAAAGGAACAATAGACACAATTTCCATGAAAGAAGCAGGTAAAAACTTAAGAGCAAAATTTATTTTTCATTATTTTTACTTTTAAAGTAATAGTAAACTGACTATGTATCTCTAGTTTTGATGACTTATTACTTTTTTATAGCAGTTAAAATAATTAGTAATAGAAAAAAAAACCTAGCATATTAAGATTGAAATCACTGCCTTTGTGTTATATTTATGTTATCTGCATGTCCAGTAGATTAACCCCTTCAAACTAATGATGTTTTCATTTTCACCTTTTATACCTAGTTAGGTAAAATGCACGTGAGCTTCTTAAGAAATCTTTACTGAATTAAATTTAATTGAAAAGTCTGGAAACAGAAGTAGAATATTTTCTCTTTTCCAGGGGGTCACTTAATTAAGCTGAAAATATAAATTGCTGTTAGTAACATAATCAAACTTTAGTGAAACATTTCTCTGAAAATCAGAAGTTGCAATTAAATTCTAGTTATTTATAATTAGCTAGATATTTTGCTCCAAAATTTTGTCTTTGAAAAAAGTACTAACTTCAGTTTACCATTTCTTTGTTTCAAAAAGGGTTTCCAGCTAGTTTTACCAGGAAGTTTATATTTGGATTTCCAAAAAACTGGAAACAATATGTTGATGATTTGTTACAAGAATTAAGGTAAAATATTTTTCTTAATTTAAAATATAACTCTTTTTATTCTTTTTTTTTCATTTTTATTTTGTTCTTTTCCTTTTTCTTTCTTAATAATTTAAAATTATCAACAAGTGTGCTTACTTGGCTAGACAAAAAACAAAAAAGAGGATTGTATATGAAACCATGAGTTTCTGTTATATACAATTTTAAGTGTAAATTCATTTCAGACATTACAGTAACAAAACTCCTCTGTTGGCCACCTTTTTTGGACTTTTTTCTTCTGAATATTTTTAAAAATAAATGTTTATTGCCATCTTGTTTTTACATTTCTTAAAATTCCCCTTTATCCCTCCCATTCTCCTTATTCTTAAATATACTTTCATTAGCCAGTAGGACTTGATAAGAATTTCAGTGCTTTCTAGAAACAGAGCTGAAGTCAAAATTTGGCAAAATTTGGCCATTTTAAGATGAACACTTAGCTATTTACCACTTTTCCCTGTGTTATAAAATCACAAGATCTTTTTTGAAAGGTTTTTGGAGGCCATCTAATCTAATCGAACACATAAGCATACAGGAAACCCCCTGACATCATTCAAGAAATTGTCAGTCTTTTAAAGAGCTCTGGTGATGCTCCAGCCACCTTCCAAGGTAGCCTATTCCCACTTTGGGATTACTATTGGCTAAAAATTTTTCCTTTTGTCAAGCTAATGTCTATCTCTCTGTATACTTCGTTCTCACCCTTTGCTCTTAGATCTGCCTTCCAGGGCCAACGAGAATGTCTATTCTTTCATTTACGTATTGGCCCTTTTAGGACTTACAGAAAACTGTCATGTCCTCCATCTCTCCCAGGTCTTCTCCTCTCTAGGACAAACAACCCCTGTTCTTTCAACCAGTCCTGCAGTATAAGGATTTTAGTCCCTTCTCCATCCTGGTGTTCCTCCTCTCTACTCCTTCCACTTTCCAAAATGTGGCATCCAGAACTAAACACAATGATTGAGACATGGTATGGTCAGGATAGAGTATAGAACTGTCACCTCCCTCATTCTGATCTTGACAATGCACCACTGGATGCAGACCAGAGTGACAGATGTTTGATTGATATTGAGTTTAGAGTCTACTAACATTCCCAAGTCTTGTTTCACAGAAATTGTTGTCTAGCCATACCTTCTCCTTCTTATTCCTCTGATGTTAATTTTTTTAACCCAAGTATAGGACTTTATATTTATCTGTATTAAAATTAATCTTATTCAGTTTGACCCAGTGTTGCAGCCTGTCAAGATATCATTGAATACTGACTCCAGTGTAGAGATCTGGTAATCTCCAAATTTGATAAGCTGCCATCTCTACTCTTCATCTCAATCATTGATAATTATTTCAGATGGCAGAGAGGTGAGGGAAGATGCATGAGATACCCCACTAATGAGCCACACCATTACAGAAACATGGCTTAAAGAATGCTTGAGTCCATGAATTCATTCCAGATGACCCTGTCCTATACTCCAGTCTTTGAGAGGTCTAAATTTCTCAGATAGTAACAGTTCTTCCAACTATACATGCCATAGAATAGATAAATGCTTGTTTATTGATGTGGCATGATCTAGAGGTCTTTCACCATCTTTCACTAGATTTATTTTGTTCTTTCTAGTCCAAAGATTATTGTCCCAGGGGAACACATAAGCAAAATAAGAACTGAGCAGTTTTACCTTCTCATTATGGTACATTGTCATCATCATTTTCACTGTCAAAATTCCTTCCTTGATCCGTTTCTTTTTCCTGACATAGCTAAGACCTTTTTGTGGCCTTATCATCATTCTTGAACTCATGCTGAGCTTAAACATTCCTGACAGTATTCTTTTTTGTGTTTACATTTTGTATTTACTTGTTTTTTTTGTTTTGTTTTGTTTTTCTGATCCCTAGGCCCTCTCTCCGTACCACCCCCATTTAAAAAAAAAAAAAAGGAAAAAAAAAGAAGGAAAAGTCCCTTATAATACATATGCATGGTCAAGAAAAACAAATTTTTCATTAGCCATGTGCAAAACACCGTCTTTTTCTGCATCTGGGGCCCATTATAATGGCCTGCTTCATTATCAGTCTTCTTGAATTGTGATTGGGCATTGCATTGATCAAAATTCTTAAGCTCTTTAAAATTATTTTTATTAATAATGTTGTTTTTGTATAAATTATTTTTCTGATTCTACTCACTTTACTCTGAATCAGTCCATAAAATCTCCCCTGAAACTTTCCATTTCATCATTTAAAAAAAATATTATTTTGCTTTTTTCTCAATTACATGTAAAAACAATTTTTAACATTCATTTTTTTAAAATTTTGAGTTCTAAATTCCCTCCCTCTGTCCTTCCTCTCCCCGCCTTTGATTATTAAGCTTTTTTTTTTTCGTGAGGCGGTTGGGGTTAAGTGACTTGCCCAGGGTCACACAGCTAGTAAGTGTTATATGTCTGAGGCTGGATTTGAACTCAAGTCCTCCCGAGTCCAGGGCTGGTGCTCTATCCACTGCGCCACCTAGCTGCCCCTTCCCCCCTCTTTGAGAAGGCAAGAAATTTGGTATAGATTATACTTGTGCAGTCATGCAAAACATATGTACATATTAGCCATGTCGCAGAAGAAAACACAGACCAAAAAAAAAATTGAGAAAGCATGCTTCAGTCTGCATTCAGACCCCATCAGTTCTTTCTCTGGAGGTGGATAGCATCTTTTCATCCTAAGGCCTTCAGAGTTATCTTATTGTATTGTTGAGAATAACTAAGTCATGCACACTTGATCATTGTACAGTATTGCTGTTACTATGTGCAGTGTTTTCCTGGTTCTGCTCACTTCACTTTGCTTCAGTTCATATAAATCTTCCCATCCTGTTCATCATTTCTTATAGCACCATAGTATTCCATTGCAATCATATACCACAACTTGTTCAACCATTCCCCAATTAATGGACATCCCTTCATTTCTGATTTTTGCCACCATAAAAAAAACCACCATAAATATTTTTGTACATATAGGTCCTTTTCCTTTCTGTTTTTTTTTTCTTTATCTCTTTGGGATACAGACCTAATAGTGGTATTGATGGGTGAAAGGGTTGCACAATTTTTTAATCCTTTGGTCATAGTTTCAAATTACACTCCGAAATGGTGGGATCAGTTCACAACTCCACCAACAGCACATTAGTGTCACAGTTTTTCCACATCCCCTGCAACATTTGTTGCATTCCTTTTCTGTCATTTAGCCAATCTGAAAGGTGTGAGGTGGTACCTCAGAACTGTTTTAATTTTCATTTCTCTAATCAATAGTACTTTAAAGCATTTTTTATATGACCATCATTTCTTATAGCATAATAATATTCCATTACATTTACCATATTTTGTTTAGCCATTTACTAATTGGGCATTCCCTATTTCCAGATCTAGACAATTTTTCATGATTTCTTTTAAGTATGATATGTAGCTTTTGTTTTGTTTTTGTCATGATTTTCAGGTAATCTGATGATTTTAAGATTATTTCTCCTTGACCTACTTTCCAGATCTGTTGTTTTGGTGATACTATATCCTTTACTTTCTCTTCTGGTTTTTTTTTTTTCACCTTTTTTCACCTGTTTCATTTTGCTTTAATATTTTTTGTTGTCTCATAGAGTAATTATTTTTTCTTTAGCCCTTTCTGAGTTTCAAGGAGTTCAGTTTTTAGGTAAGGCTTGCCACAATATGTTTTAAGCTATTAATTTTCCTTGCTATTCTTTTTTTCCTACTTGTCCTTTCCTTTAACATTTCATTTTATATTTCCTATTTCATTTCCTCAGGGTACTTTTATAGTTCTTGTTGTCAGGACATTCTTTTCTCTGAGACTCTATTTTGACTTCTGCTTGGAATTCTTTTGGATTTACAATCTCTTGGGCTTCTCTCTGACCAAGATATTTTTTCATTGTGTTGAGTGTTTTCTTCTGTTTATCCATATCTTCAGATACAGTTTTCTGAATTAGGGCTGTGTGCTGAGTTAGACCTTGCTACCTTCCATACTTTTGGATGATGTGGGCAACCCTCTATTTGGTCCCATATATGGTGGTATACTGGGCTATATATAGACTGGGCTATCCTTCCTACAGGAATTCCTCTTTGGCCCAGTCTTCTGGTGAGTTGGCTTACATATTGGCCTTGAATCTCTTCCCTCTCTCTTTATCCTTGTATAGTTCCAAACCTGTATTTCACTCTGTCTTTGCTATGATCTTGACGAATCCCACCTATATGTTGTTGATGGTGCTGGGAGAAGGCCTTCTGGGAGACCCTAAGTGGTTTGCTTCTCACATGCTGCCCTGATCCTTTCTGCTGCTGTGTCTGAAGCATGGGGCTCCTCTGTTCCCTCTTATATCTTGAGCAGGACTGACAAGAGACTATGCACTGCGTTCCCTGGCTGCTGGTCTGACCCCATCTTCTGTGCCTCAAACTGGGTACCAGGCATTGTTTCTTTGGCACTGCCTGCCATTGCTTTCATCCTCTGTACCTATCTTTTTAAAAATCTAAATCATTGGCTCAGTTCCCTGTGCCTTAGATACCTCCCCTTTTTCTTTCTCACCCCAGTTGTTTCTGTTAGTGTCCTGGCTCATTTGGACTGACTTCTTTAAAATTTTAGTATTTTTTAATCCTAACTATTCTTTCTTTTTGTACTCTGTAAAATTGAGGATACAGATCAAATGACATCTGGCTTTTCTCACCTACATTATCCCATGTTCTAAAATAGAGTTGTTAATTTCTCCCTACAGTTCCCATTTTTTCTCTTAGCAATCAGCTCCTTCTTTTTAGTCAGAATTAAGTTCAGATTCTTCATATTGATTTCTGTACTTCTGGAAAGACTAAAGTATTCTTAAGACAATTTAAAAAAATATATTAGCTACAGAACTAGGAGAACGTTGTACACAGTAACAGCCACGTTGTGTGATGACTAACTTTGATAGACTTAGCTCTTCTCAGCAATGCAAAGATCTAAGACATCTCCAAAAGTCTCATGATGGAAAATGCTGTCCACATCCAGAGAAAGAACCGTAGAGTTGGAATGTAGATCGAAGCATACTATTTGCTCTTTTGTTCCTTCTGTTTTGTTTTGTTTCCTCTTGTGGTTCCTCCTATTGGTTCTAATTCTTCCTTACAACATGATTAATGTGAAAATATATTTAATAGGAATATATATGTAGAACCTATATCAGATTGCATGCTGTCTTGGGGACGGAGGTTGAAAAAGAGGAGGAGAAAAATTTTAAATTCAAAAGATTATAGAAGTGATTGTTGAAAACTAAAAATAAATTAATTAATAAAAAAAATGTATTGGCTGCTCTGGTTTTGACAGAGAGGAAGCCATAGCCGATTTTCAAACAATTAAAGCATCACTACTCATCATGCCCCATGCCAGGCTTGTAGTCTGTTTTTTGAAGTCATCGTCTTATTTCTTCTTTCTGTCCCATTGGTCTGTAGTATGCTACTATGACAATATCCCTTCTGTTTTTCCCTCTGATCTTCACATAAATTCTGTCTTTTTTTTTCCTCCCTACTATCTTTCCTTGTTCCTGCATGTCCTCAAATGAGTATATGTTAATATGCAATAGTATAGTGTTCTCCTTTGATCTATTTTCGTTCTGAACAAAGCATATTCTTTCATAGCCATGAGCCATAAATTTCACAGTCATAAATTTTATCCTATTCAGTCTCAGTGATACCTATAATGTTGAATATGTTTTCTTATATAAGAATCTCTACTTCACCTTCCTTATTATGTTCTTTGATAGTTTTTTTGTACAATAGCTATAACTGAGTTATTGTTTTGTTCTTTTAAAAACTCCATAATGGAGAGAAAACTTGAATGTTAACTATGAAAAGTATTTAATTCATAAATTTTTTAATTGTTTAAAGGACATTTTCTAAGAAAGGAAAAAAATGTAAATTGGACCAACAAAAAACAGATAAATCTGTCTTTGACACAAAGATGAAAAAAAGTGATACATCAGAAGAAACTGGAACAGAAGTGGTCTCCAAAAATGCCAAAACTAAAAATACTACTTTTGATGTTTCTGAAAACTGCTCTGGTATGCTTGTCTTTTTTCTTATATGTTTAAATTGACAGGAAGAATTGAACTATTGATTAAATATATTATTTTCTTCTTATACCTAAAGTGCAATAGTATGGAAGTTTTTGAAACATTGCATTTATTAGGATAATTTATCCTGTTTTTGAAGATTGTTTTACTGACAAAGAAATTACATAGTAAGCCCTAGAACCCTTTGCAGCCAGGATCATAATTTTTTCCTGGCTTCTATTAGATAATAAATACCGGGTAGCTAGGTAGATAAACCAACTAATCTTAATTCCTATAGAGATGTAAATATAATAGGTTACCTAGAACAAAGAAGACACTTAAACCCTAGAAGCTGGTCCGGATTTATATCAGAGCCATTGAAATGATTCATTCCTATTAAAAAAGAGAAAACCCATTTTCTTTTAGGTAGTGATAAGAACATAATTTTACTTAGTATGGTTTAAAAAAAAAACAGACTGCTAAAATTATTAGTCATGTCAAACCTTTAAAGGTTCAGGACAGCTGCTGTTGACCTTGATTACTTTTCTTGGTATATGTCCCATTATCACTTGTGGGAGGAAAAAGGACGTTATTTCTCTGCATAATTCTCTCTCTTGACACCTCATCTCCTTATTTTCCTGTTTTGAATCAGCAGTCATACTGCAAGCAGAGGTTTCTCTAAGACAAATGTACTTCATTCCTTACTGGGTAGAAAAGGGACAATTTGCATCCACTTGGTTGTGTCTCAAGCCTTTATCTGCTCTCAGGCACCCTCCTAATTTCTCTGCATTGACATAACAGGCTTTTGGCACAGCCTGAACACTACTGCCTTCTGATGAAGGTGGAGTGATAAACTGTAATGATAGTACCAGTTTAGTTCATCTTCTTCTCTAAGCAGAAGGAATCCTGCCCCCAAATTGGGATATCATCTGTAAATCTTGCCCTCTTTAGGTCAAAGACCTCACTATCATCTCTCATTTAGAGATCAGTTCTTTTAAGAAACCTGAGACACTGCTGAAAGAAAAGAGAAATTTTGAATTACAGTCTTGCCGCTGACTGCATTTGTGATTCTTTAGTGAATGGAACTGAAAATCTCAGATATTAGGGAAGGTTACAGAAAGTGGCAGGGACTTTCTAGGGTTGAGATACTCGTATCATCTCCATCTTTATGTGCCCCCAGCCCACTTAAACTGTCAGGCTGAGAAGAAAGATTTTTGCATGAGGTCATGGGACTAAAGCCTTTATTTTGTCCAATGTGACAAGCTCAAGCAGGTGGAAGTTTTGGTTGCCACATAGAGAAGGAAGTTTTTTTACAGAGCAAGAGAATTTTTTTGTGTGAGCTATTTTCTGTAGATACTTGTATGAAGGAAACATATCGTTGTATTTGGTTCCCAACTGATCAGCTGCTGGCTTGGGGTGCAGTTTTTTATGTTTCAGGGCTGAGGACAGACGCTTTTTTAATCTTTCATTTCCCTTGCTGGTCTGAGATGGGTTGGACTTTACCTTTTGGTTATCCTTACACAACGATTGGGGTAAAGGAGACTCAAAAAATAAGGGTTTAATGTGTTACTTCCCATCTAATGGCATTACTCTTTAAAAAAAAAGAAAATAATAGTGTCCTGCTCCCACTGCCAAGGGAAAAAAATGACATGGAGAGAAAATGTCCTCACCCAGTAGTGAGGGTTGAGTAATAATATGAGAGGTGGAAATTTAAGCCTTACAGAAAAGAGATCAGATCATAAAATTTTTCTCTTGCTTTTTTCATGAAAATAATCCATTTGGCAACAAGCTTTAAGTGTTTTAGAAAATATAGCAATTTAACTAAACTTGCATTTTAAATTTCTCCTCTGGATCTTGATTTTTTACTAGCCTAATGACTTACAATGGAAGAATATGTTGTTGTTTTTTTACCTCTCCAGATTCCTTGATCTCTTTCCTTTCTAACTGCCTGGCTCCAGCTTACTCTACATGTAGTTTGACTGTGAGTCCGTTAAATACTGTTTTTATCCTGTTAGCAGTGTTTATTAAGACATTTTTATAACATTTAATCAATATTTTATCATTTTCCAGTTTTATTTTTTGGTCTCCAGCTCTTGAATGAGATTCTTTGAACAGTTTCTTAGTGTGTAGGTTTTCATAATTATTATGAGAGGTTTTTAATACATCTCTCACATTTCCAAGAAGTACAATTCCATGTGTAAGTAAACTTACTATTTATGTTTGTTTTTGTTGACAACTTAGTTACTATTGTACCACACAACAAAATGAACAGATATTTAACATAAGGATTCCATGTACAAATAGAAATATAGGAGAAATAGAACTAGATTTGTTAGCTTTTTATTAAATTGTTGCATTTGTGCGGTACTTTCTAGGTTATAATATACTTTTTACCATTTTTCCTCATAACAATCTAGTGAGGAAGATGGTCAGTTATTTTTGTCCTCACTTTAAAGAAGGACATTAATTCAGTCCTCCACTCTGAATACCATGTCATTGAATCTGAGGAAGAAGGTTAAAAATTCATAACTCTCAATGCATGGAAGTCCCCTTTTCCTTTGTGTTTTGAAAAAGAATGATATAGACAGAACCTGCCCCATGAAATAAGTTGTCTAAAAGCTTTAAGAAATTGTAAAGCATGGTATCTTATAATTTATTAGGAATAAATGAACTTCCCTTTTATTAGGAAAGATCTTAAGCAATATTGTCCCACTCCAGTGGATTACTTTTATTCAGTAATGGTTGGTTTGCAATATGTATTCATTTGACATGCCTTTTATTAGAAAGCACTATACATTAAAAATCTTATTGCTAATGAAATATTAATCTTTGTCCTCATAGAAATACCTATTGAGTGTAATGCTTTACATAGAGCTACAGAACTAAACATGTTTCATACTGATCAGCATCATAAAGAACCTTTAAAATTGCAGCGTGATGAACATAATTGTGATAATCAAATGAATGTCACTTTCCAAACTGGAGGAAAAACCTATCTACCTAAAGAGGTAATTTTTTTCATACACTACTGTTTGATCTTCAAATGAGTAAAATAGACGTTTGATTTCAGTTGAATACTTAGTGCTTTTTGCCCATGTCTGACTATTTTAAGATAGGAGATTGTCAAGATGAAGCATACTATGGAGTTTTCATGTACTATTATCTGTTATAATCTAAAAATACATTTTAAATTTTAGCCAGAGAAACTCAATTAATATATGTACTAAAAAGACTTTCCATATTTTATTAGCATACCCTCACCTAAAAAACAATATTAAGGCAAAGATTTAGAGGATATAAATGTAATGAGGTACCAGAGTGTTAACCCCTCTGATGTGGTTCACCTACCTTAGCATTTTCTGGCTATTTATTTCTACTTCTTGTGACTCAATAAAATGAGGTGGCCTCAGGGCACAGCCTGAGGCTAGGAGTTTTTAATCTTTTGTGTGTCCTGGACTTCTTTGGCAGTCTGGTAAAACCTATGGAAGATCCCTCAGAATGTTTTAAAATGGATATAGTAAAAGACATAGGGCTATAAAGTAAAGCAATTATTTTGAAATTCACTTATCAAAATACTTTAAAAAACTAGGTAATAGACCCCTGCCCTAGGGGGTTTGAGAGCCATGTGATCAGCTAGCTTTACTTCCACCTCATGACTTCCTCAGCACAGGGAGGCGACTTGCAAAGCAGGAGATGAAAGAGGAGGTATTTCAGAGATAGAAGATTCCAAGGGACGGGAGTGATTAGAAAGTGATTTTTTTGTTTGTTTGCTTGCCTCCACCAAGGACATGTTGGAGGGAGATGATGTGACATCAGACTGTAGAAATCTGTTAATTTCTATGCCATATACATAATTTTTAAAGTACTCTGAGCTCCCTATTTAGGGTGGATACTGGTAGTGTTAATGATAGAAAGTTATTTCCATCTATTTTGTTTTTAAGGAATCAACTTCAAAAAATGAAAGTAAACTGATGACTTCTCCAAAGAAAACCAAAAATCATGAAGCTAAAACAAATGAAACAATATTTAAAAGTCTAAAGAGAGGTAAAATGCCCCCCAGTATTTTTTAAGTGAACCTTCGTATTTTGTTTGCTATATATTTTAAATATATAGATTTGGAAAGTGCCCATTTTTAAATTGTCTAGGCCAAAATTATTCCTGAAATGCCTTAAGGATTCTCAACTCTTATTCTGTATTAATGACTTTTTAAGGTGTATAAAACATTTTATTTTATTTTCAATGCATTTTATTGATGCCTTTTCTTTATATGATAGCTATTTCAGCTCTCTCCTCCAGACTGAACCCTCCCTTGTAATAAAAAAAAAAAAACCACTCCATCAAAAACGTCCGATACAGCGATTGTATTGACAATGTATATGGCATTTTTTCATAGTAGTCCTCCACCTCTCTGCCATGAGAAGGGAGAAGGGTATATATTTCATTATCATTTTTGCTGGGATCTTGATTAGTTTTTCAGTTACTCAGAATTTTATTTCCTTTTGGTGTGGTTTTTCATTTACATTGTTGTAAATGTTATATCGTTCTCTTGGTTTGGCTTATTTTTCTCTGCAACGGTTCATACAAATCTTTCCATGCTTGCCTGAATTCCTCATATTTGTTAGTTCTTACTACATGATATTCCATTACATTAATATACTGTAGTTACTTTACCATTCATTCCCCAGTAGATAGATACCTAACTTGTTTCTGGTTCTTTCCTACCATAGAGTGTTCCTATGAATATTTTGGCATATGTTGGACCTTTGTTTATGTTTTTTTATACTTCCTTGGGGCATATTTCCAGTAGTGGAGGTAAAATAGATACATGTGCCAGGGTCTGCTCTAGGACCAAGAGACCCAACACAGCGAGGCTAAGACTTGATACATACAGTTGTGGCTAGAAAAAGAACCAAGCAATGAGGTATAATGGCAGCAATGAGGCCAGTTTGCCTAGTGACAAAAAGTCTATTTATAGCAAGTCTTCACGACCAGAGTGTGGTTCCTAGAGGTGCTTATCTGAGCTCAGGAACCACCTAGGGGCTGGTTTGAGCCAAGTCTGTGATTTAGCTGCAGCAGAGTTTGTCCAAATGGTGAGTGCAAAGGACTGTTGTTATGCCAAGCTCAGGGCACAGCTGGCTTGCTGGACCTTAGCTCTGGAAAACAAGGTGTCTCCTAATAGTAAGAAAAGAGAGGAGTGGTCTTGCTGTGCAGTCTTGACATTTGGATATCAGACTTTTATCAGTGATAGTTGATGCCAATATTTTTTCTGCTTTCTAGTTTTTCTTCTAATTCCACCTTCATTGATTTTATTCATGCTAATTTTCTACAATCTAAATAACTGATTTTTATGTTATTGTACCAACCATGATTTATATATCAAAAACCAAGTTATTCTGAGGCAGTAAGCCATTTGGATTTATTAAAAGTACTGGACAATTTCCCAAATGTGAGCTTACTTCTAAACAAATGAACTATTATTTAGACAAAAAGAAAATAGTTACCGTGTAACTTGATGATATGTATTTTCAGAATCAAGAGGTTGTACAAATTTAGTTACTTGTTCTTTGAAATAAACTTTAGTGGCTCTATTTCTTGTTACCACTCAGTGTTGTCCAAGCAATCTGGCCATGTGTAAACTACATTTTACTTTTGTCAATAAAATTCCTTTTCACATAATATATAGACGTACTTTTTATGTTCCATATAAAGAAATAAAAGAAGGCACAGCATAATGATGCATAGTGAATTCATTACTTAAAAGTTTCTTCTTTTTCTTATGGTCCTCTGAATTTCAGATTATTAACAGATTGCTAAATTTGATTTCTGCTCTTTGACTCTAAGATACAATGAAATAAATATTCCTGTGTTGCTCATTTCACTTATTATTTGATGAGCATACATAGAGCTACAGAGAAATTTAATTTATTTTCCCTAATTTAGAGCCACAAGGCTCTAAATAATAGTGCTAACGTTCTTTAAAAGTTAAGTAGGAGCTTATTTAAAAAGTGTTAGATATAGACTGTTACTCTAAACTGTTGTCATTTGGGAGGGCTATAGCAAACCCATTCTTAACATAACAATTACAGTCAATTTACATAGTCCGCTGTAGTAAAGAACAGCAACATGGACGGATAATCCAAAAATCATTTAGAATCATCTTTGGTATACATTAATAGTAAGAAAGTAGATTCACTTTCCTCATATGTTTGTCTAACATTAAAGCCAGTTAGTTTTCACTGAGCATACATACCAAGTGATTGTAGGGTAAGGTAAAACAGAGGTGTCCTCCAAAGAATGTGCTATGATTCTACAAGTGCTATTGAGGACACTCGAGAAGAGACAAGAATTGCTGGCAGATGACAGAATCCCTGCTCAGAGATATGGAGGCAGTTGTTTGTCAAATGGTCATTAACAACAGAAAGGTCTTCCCAGGGTATATATCCAGCATGTGAGCGAGAACTTCCCAAGACATGATTTTTATCCACTTCTGGTAATTCACATAAACACAAACCATACTGCCAGAAGGAATCTAGCAAGCATATCTGAAGTTTACAAAGTTTTTGGCAAGAAACGCAGCACCTTAGGAGCAAAACTAGTGTTTTCATCACTACTGCCAATCAAAGTTAAGAGTTTCAGAAAAAAGAGGCAGATTTGTGAACAGCTAGTTAAGAATATGATATCTGAGTAGAGGATTTGGATTTGTGAACCACAGTTAAAATATAAGAATGAAGGATTCTTGGCTAGTTATGTAGTTTACCTAACAAGGGTTGATTTAAAAAAATAAGCCCCTCAGATTTTCCTAGAGTCTTGCAAATCTGATTTTTACAAAAAGGCTTTAAAATGAAAAGGAATGTGAGAGAAACCTGCCTATATACAGCTATGAAGCTAGATATTTGGTACCTAGGTAGAGAATTACTTCAACCCAGGAAGAATAGCAGTGAAAACACTCAGAAAGTCATGGAACTCAAAATTCAAGAAAAGAACCAGCAAAAAAAAAAAAATCAACCTCAGATTTTTACACATAAATACACATAGTATGAGGAATAGGCAAAGTTAAATGGACATCCTAATGAAATGAAGCAAATCAGACTTCATAGGTCTTGCCAAGACTTGGTGACATGGGATCCATGACTGAAATATGGCACTGGAACAGTTTAGGGGAGTAAGTAAAGAAGAGGAATGGCAAGTAGCATTGTAATATTAAGAAGATTTATTTGTATGAAGAGATCCAGGAAACAGGTCCACTGTAGCAGCCCTGGACCAGGCAGAGGAACCTTCATTGCAATGTCAGGAAACTGGTGCACTCTCACCCAGTGGGCTGTGCATTGTCTCTGAGCACTGGAGACCTTCAGCAGCTCCTTTGGCCTCGATGAACCGCAGTAGGTCCCAGAGCTAGCCATTATATCATCTTAAAATATGCCATACAGAACCAAATAGGCATCAAACTGTAGATGAGATTTGATGAGGGCAGAGTATAGCAGGAACTGTAACTTCCTTTTTTCTGGACCTGATGCTTCCCCAAATGCGGCTGAGGCTTGAGTTAGCTTTTTTGGCTGCCACATCAAATGAGCTGTTTTCCACTCCTACCTTCCCTACCTTGTATTTATGAGGACAATTTTTTGCAGCCTCGGTGTAGGACTTCACATTTTTCACTTAAATTGCATCCCATTAGATTAGGCCTATCTTAACCTCTTGAGATCTGTTTGGATCCTGACTGTCATCCTTCGGATTAACTTTACAGCTTTGCACCATCTGCAGTTTAATTAAGCATGCATTCTATGCCTTCTTTCAAGTTAGTTCAATTCAAAAATGGGGGAAAAACAAACAAGCCTTCCACAACCCAAAAGAATTTACATTCTGCCTCTAGGTGAAAAGTGTCCAAGATGTATGCAAGTGTGAAATCAAGTTTAATACGTGACTAGAAAGCACCTCTGTCACTACTGTGGGAAGTGCTTCTGTGATTAATGGAGCAAGAAGTCACCCTTGGCCCCGATGTGCATTGTGGACTCACTACGACAGCACTCAAGAGTGTGTGCTCCTGTCTCAGGCAGCTCAAAAGTGCTCTTAAATGGAGCTACTTTCTATGTATGTGGCACTAGGAACATCAGGGAAATCTGAAATGATGGTTTGTTGCCTTTCTCATAGTTAGAGGTACTTGTTTCTGGTTGGAGATGGATGTTATGAAATTGAAATTGCTCAAATTCCAACTGTTCAGATATTGAGGGCTTATTTGCAGAGGAGGCAATGCTCAACCTGCAGCTATGCTATGAAGTTCACTACTAGCAAAAATTCCAATTCTTAACAAAAAGCAGTCAGTTACCTGGTTAGCAGCCATGTATAAGGCAAAAGCCAAACTCCTCTTTGTTTTGTTTAATTTAATATTTTTCCCCAATTACATATAAAAACAATTTTTAACATTCCTTTTTTTTTTTTTAAATTTTTGAGTTACAAATTCTCTCTTTCTTTCCCTCCCCTGCCCCTTCACTGAGAAGGCAAGTCATTTAATATAGATTATTCATGTTCAGTCACGCAAAACATATTTCCATATTAGTCATGTGAAAGAAAACACAGACCAAAAAAACCAAACAAACAAAAATAAAATTTAAAAACTATGCTTCAGTCTGCATTCACACTCCATCAATTCTTTCTCCAGAGGTGGATAGCATTTTTCATCATAACTATTTTGGAATTGTCTTGCATCATTGTATTGCTGAGAATAGCTAAGTCATTCACAGTTGATCATCATACAGTATTACTATTGCTGTGTACAGTGTTCTTCTGATTCTGCTCACTTCACTCTGCATTAGTTGATGAAAGTCTTTGCAGGTTTTTCTGAAATCTTCCTGTTTGTCATTTCTTATAGCACAATAATATTCCACCATGGTCATGTACCACAACTTGTTTAGTCATTCCCTGATTGATGAGCATCTCCCCATTTCCAATTCTTAGCCATCACAAAAAGCTGCTATAAATATTTTTGTACAAATAGGTTCTTGTCCTCCTTACCCCCCCCTTTTTTTTATCTTTTTGAGATACAGACCTTG